AATGGAAAGACAGCGCCGTGAGGAGGAGGTGAAAACTAAATCATCTAAGAAAGCACAAGATGCTGAGCAAGCCATGATGAACAAGGTATCACTTCTGCGTCTTTGCTTGCATGAATCTGCATACCTACAAAACTGTATGCAGATTGATCACCCTATATTTGTGTTGGTCTGGCTGTTCATAACTTTACATTGGTTGTATTTCATATTAGGGTTCTGAGCAAGCTAAGTCGTCAAAAGACAAATCCAATCAGCAAGATAAAGATACCAAAGAGGGACCTAATCTGCAGGTTGCTGGTCCTGGCGGTGAAATAACTGCAGGTATAATACTGCACTGTAGTTTGGCTCAACTTCAGCTTTTCTCAGAACAATTTGCTAGCACTTTTGCTTATATGCGACTATGATTAAAACTGGAAGTCACAGATATTTATCTGACGTAGCTACCATGCCATTTTTTATCTAGTAAAATGAAATAAGCCTTTTGATAAGAATCAACCTTTTTGGCCGCTTGTTAATTCCATGCTTACTCTGACATAATCTTCCATTGTCTAGTATACAATGCATGCATAAGGATGTAACAAATTACATGGTTTTGATGATTTCTTTTCCAGTAATTTGGGTTTGATTTATTGATACACAAAGCATATGTTTTCTTCTCCCTTTAGGTTACCTATTGAAAAAGAGTGCAAAAAACAATGAATGGAGCAAAAGGTGGTTTGTCCTAAATGAGAAGAGTGGAAAGGTAAATAAATCTGCCCTGGTGCCCACTAGTCTCAACTGTTCTGAACTTCTGAATGCAATCTTTTGATACTATTCTTGACATTTTCTGCTGATTTTTAACATTTGAGGTGGTTGGTGTTATTTACTTTGAACTTTCCCTGTCCAGCTTGGCTACACCAAGAAACAAGAGGAGAGACATTTTCGAGGCGTCATTGTCTTAGAGGTGTGCTTGATTATATATTTTACCATGTTCATTTTGTTCTACTTGACATTGAGTAATCTGTGATTGATGCATTACTTTACCATTCTTGGTTGTAATAGACACAGTAAATGTTTTCTGAGTCATCGTGGATAGTTCCAGTTTTTAAAACTTTTTTAAAAAGATATTTGAACTTAGAAATATCATGTCTACAACTATGTGAGCTGTCATATAAACTTTCGTAGTAACAGTATGTCGTGTGATTCAGGAATGTAACCTGGAAGAGATAGAGGAGGAAGAGCTTTCTAAAACTTCTAAGGATTCAAAGAAGGCGAATGGGGCAGAGAAAGGCCCAAGTCTCGTATTTAAGATTACTAACAGGGTTGCCTACAAAACTGTGCTGAAAGGTTGCTACCTCTAAACCAACTATCTCAAGGTTTACTCTGACTCTACCGCATTAATGTTTATTTCATGTTGCAGCTCATAGTGCCGTTGTATTGAAGGCTGAGAGTATGGCTGACAAGATTGAATGGGTGAAGAAGATAAAAGGTATTATTCAGAGCAAAGGTGGGTCTGTCAAGAGTTCAAATACTCCTGAGGGCGGTTCCATGAGACAAAGCCATTCAGATGGATCTCTTGTAAGCTCCACACTATGTTTGAGTTGTGTCCTTTTCCAGTATCCACCGTTAAGCTTTTAGAACTTACTTTCAAGAGTTAGTTGTCTCAGCTTATTTTCTGTGAACTGCTTATTTTGAGTTAGCATGTTTCTCATTTCAATGTGTGATCTTATCAAACAAAAGCTCACCTCTTGCTGTTGCTTTGTTCTACAATTCAATGACACGTGATTACACCTTTTCTCTCAAGGATACGATGGCCCGGAGGCCTGCTGATCCTGAAGAAGAACTCCGATGGATGTCACAAGAAGTTCGTGGTTATGTCGAGGCTGTGTTGAACAGCCTGGCAGCAAATGTTCCAAAGGTATATTTGTCCCTGTCATTTATTTTAACATTGTCAAATGTGGCATTCATTATCTTATGCATGATCAATTGATCAGGCTATTGTGCTTTGCCAAGTGGAGAAAGCAAAGGAAGATATGCTAAACCAGCTGTACAGCTCAATAAGGTTGGATTCTCTCTTTGTTCTGAAACGAAATTGATACCCTGGTTCGGTGTCCACTTGTCCATTCATCAGTATCCTCTTTCTTGTACCCAATTGACTGAAAAATGGACCACCCAGTTGGAAGAATCACAATGCTTTTGTGTACTCCTACCTAAACCCTAGTTTAACTCGCAGTTATGGCCTTATGGGTCCTTGCTACTAATGGGTAGGTTCATTTTGAATAGCTTCATTATATTTATTTTCCTTCTAATTATGTTACTTTTATGAGGTGTATTTTATACTGGGAAATGCTTCACGACTAAAAAGTTGCATCCTTATTTAAAAAGTGATATGCACCGATCCAATTGATTCACACAGTTCTGGCTCCAATCACTTTACACAGTCGCATGCCTACACCTAATATTCACCAACCCAAGTATAGCTCATCTATTTTTTGCTATTCATTTCTTACTGTGAACTTTTAGAAATGTTGAAAAAGTGCGTGCCTGTTCCATGGTCAATCTATTTAAGTATCTTTGTATAATTCGTTGCAGTGTTGTTAACTTTGTCTCAATTTTCGGTTTCAGTTCACAAAGCAATGCAAGGATTGAAGAACTTCTCCAAGAGGACCACAATGCTAAACGCAGACGGGAAAAGGCCCAAAAACAATCGACTCTTCTGTCAAAACTTACTCGTCAGCTCAGTGTCCATGATAACAGAGCTGCAGTTGCATCATATTCTGATGATACTTCTGGTCCGGGTAAGCGCGCTATTTCAATATCTGTTTCATACTCAGTATCAGCAGCCAGCCGAAACCTCAATATCGCTTGATGCAAATGATATCTAGAACTTGCTAACAACTTTGTAGAAGTTAAGCATTAAAATTTCCCTGAAAGTAATTCATCCGCATTGGTTACTTGTTTCAAGCAAAAATCAATTATGTTCTTAATTTCTTTGTACTGTATGCCAATTTTCTGATTAGCTGATGGTTGTTCATATCACTGCCACCTGTACAAGCACTTCTTGAAGGCTACTTACAATAATCAATGATGTTTGACTTTTTGGTACCAACTTGGCAGAAATGAGTTTCTTTGGTGTTTGTGTGGGCACCTTTCACTTGTTTTGCATAGCGTCTGCAAAAAATTTCAGACCTGTTCTATATGCAAACAAACCTGGAACACCACAGTATAGCGTTTCACGCTAGGGGAAGTACTTCGTTCAAAGCTCAGATTTGTTATATCGAGGTTGGGTTGTGGCGGCACACATCTTTGGCCAAAACTTAGGAGGGGCAATATGCTTGCATTAGGTTCAGGAGCTTGTGTTCACCACTTGTGAGCATCCTAGTTTCAAGTTGCTAAACATTCTTTCCTTGGTTTGAAAATTTGTCGATTGTATTTTATTTTGTATTAGTAGTTATCACCGACCGAGTAAGATAAAATATGCATCTAAAGGGATACTACCAGAGATAAAATAAAGGAGACTATTTAGGAGAGGGTGAAAATAAATTAAGGCAAAGGAGAGAGGTGAATTTACATGCACCTTTTATTCTGAAATGTGATTAAAGATATTAGTAATACCCCTGGGATGTTTTTTTTCTTCTTTCTTCTGCTTTCCTGGTGTACAAACCAAACCTTTACCCTGACAAAATGAAACATCACTTGCAGAGAGTGGCCCACAGAGCCCTAGCCAGTCGAGTGAGGACTGGAGGTCTGCCTTCAGTGCTGCAGCAAATGGCTCTGCCGACCGATCCAGTTCACAGAACGAGTCAAGATCGAGAAGTGCTGACAGTCGTGGTCGGCGGTATGAAAATGGGGATGCCAACGGTGCCAATTCAGGCAGCCGACGCACACCAAACCGGTTGCCACCTGCACCACCGAAATACTAAGCATGTTGATTGGCATATGTGAGAATCCTATTTTTCATGGCATGCTCTCACTCCCACCTGATAGTGATGGGAAAACAAATTGGAATGAGAATAGAGAGCTGGCGAGAGATCGCATGAATGGTGTGTATCCAGAGGACCTCAGTTGTTTATAGAAATATGTAGGTTATCTACGGTGGTTGTTTCGCGATCATTTTGCTATATCGATCAGTCTGATGCTCTCTCGGCCTGTGAGATTTTGTTGCCACAGATCAGTTGATCTTGGTTCTGAACTCTGTTGTTGTAACTTGTAAGTCTTCCATCAAACTGGCAATGTATCCTTTTCACCCATTGGTGTATTATATTCTTTCCATTCTTTTTGACCTCACGAGACTCACGTTTTTATTTTGAGGTGATATGCTTGGTGTTGTATGCAAGGGATCTGGATCGTCATTCTTTGATTAGCCACGAGAAATCATAAGCACTCTTGTTGATACTCCCTCTGTAAAGAAATTTAGTGATCTAAACAATCTTATATTTCTTTACAGAGTATTATTATTTATGTGTTCTTCCATCTACCTTTGTGTAACTTCCTGCTTCATCGTTGGATTCTTATTTCCTAGTTTTACGGGGCATCACTACTTGTGTCCTCTGATTCAAAATTTTGCTGTTAAAATAGCAGACCCTAATTATAATCACGAATGATTGTACAGGGCACCCATGTAAAAGCTGGTTACTTGATGAAGTGAAGGTTTCGTTGCTAGTTTCATTTTCATTTTCATCAAAAAACGGCCCTCATATTGTCCTCCTATTTGAATGCGTTTGTTGTGTCGCGTCTCCTTTCGTGGCCAACTCTCATTTTCAAGCTTGGACAATAGACTCCTCTCTTGCAAGCTTAAACAAACTAGAATCACCGATATATAAATTCTCATTTTCCTTTTCTCATATGTACAGGCAGCGAATTTACATTTGCATGTCAATGCCTCCAGCCCTTTTTTTTCCCTCATATACTACACCCATCTCCATCCTTTCTGTGTATCAAGAAACCTCCAAAGAAGGAGAAGAAATGAACAAAAGAATGGGGAAAATTGTACAGCCCCTCGACCTATAACCTATCTAACCCATTTACACCTCGGCCGCCGTGCCGCTTCTCGCGGTGGCAGCTCTCTGCTCCCTCTCCTCCCTCTCCTCCCTCGCCATCCGGTTGAGCTTGGCGAACATCCCCACCATGGGCGCGGTGTTGTAGGTGCACGCCTCCGTCTGCATGTAGTTGTCCCGGTTGTCCCTGAACCGGTCCCTCCGGTCGGGCCCGCCGACGATGGCGCCGACGAGCACGTTGGGGTTGGAGCTCCGGCGGCCGAACCAGTGGTCGAACCCCTGCGAGCACCCGATGAACTGCTTGCTGTGCTTGTACGGCACGATGGATGCCGCGCGGTGGTGCACCCTGGCGGGGTACTTGGGGCCGTAGCCCACGAGGTAGCTGACGCCCCTGGGGTTGGTGCCCAGCACGTAGTCCGTCTGCGCCCTGGCCAGCGCCGCCACCTCGCCGGCGCCCGCCGTCCCGCCGCCCGCCGTCCCGCCGCCCGCGCAGGTCACCGTCCCCACGCCGGCCTCGGCCAGGTAGTCGGCGTAGGTGGAGAGCAGGAACGCCGCGTTGGTCACGTACTGCATGTTGTTCCACTGCCGGATGTAGAGCATCCCCCCCGGGCTCCGCTCCACGTTGGCGTCCTCGCCGCCGGCCTGCGCGTTCCGGCCCAGGCACGCGCACACGTAGTGCTCCGCCTTGGCCTGGTACCGCTCCAGCGTGCTCTTCTGCTCCGCCGTGTGCTCCCCCCTCAGCAGCAGCTGAAAATCATTTCGTCTCGTCAGTGACCGGCCGGCCAGTGATGGTTCACCTGATAGCTCAAAGTGCGCAGTGGCTTACTCTGGCGGCGAGGATCTGGACGCCGGCGTACTTGACGTCCCAGCTGAACTCGGTGATGGCCCAGCCGGTGCCGCCGAAGTCGTGGGCGTTGTCGACGACGTAGTCGAGGTAGGCGGCCTTGCCGGTGGCGCGGTGGAGCCACAGGGCGGCCCACAGCAGCTCGTCCTTGTACCCGCTCACCGACGCGTAGTAGCTCTTCACCTCCGCGATGCTGCTGTCGTATTGGCCCCTGTACCCGTCCGCGAACTCGAACAGCTGCACGCACGTTCACAAAGCGAACATCAGCCAACGTGCACGTACATCCAACAACTAGTAAGATCGCATACACTATCATCAGCTTAAAAAATAAAAAATAAAAAGCCCTAAGAATAATAACTAAGGCTGCATATGTATCTATCATTCATTGATGCGTTTTATAGTTGACACTTGAAAAGCGGCAGGCAGGTAGGTAGCCAAGCCAGGCCAGTGGGTGTGGATACGGACGGGTTCAATTAGCACATGATGGCACGACGACCGCTTCCTAATAATTTCCCAGTTAAGCCGCTGGCTCAGCATGTGATTGAACTGGCCACCTAATCATGCCCGGAGGCGGCAAATGGAAAGTTCCCCGTCCACCAGATAGAGGTTGCGCCCCGGCCCCACACGGCAGCCAGCCGACAGAAGAGAAAAAACCTCCGTTTTCCCGCCCGATCGATCGACGTCGGTCTCATCGCGTCGAGCTGTTTGCGACTTGGCATGTGCGGCACAGGGCACAAGAAAAGAACACACACCTCATATGCCCATGAAAAGACCGGCGCCCCTTGACCAAAGCTACCAATATTCGTACGCTATGTTCCAAAATCCGGTACGCAGACAGACTGGTGCTACACAAAGCTCCAAGCTTGCGCCGATATTTTTCTCTCATTTTTCCACACGAGACTTTGCAATTGCATGCACCACGTCAACGTACACGATGTGTGTATCTGGAGTGTGTACCTGCTGGGCGTGGTGCAGGAGGAGGTGGGCGTAGTGCGGGTTGGACTTGCGGAAGACCATGGAGGCGGCGGCCATGGCGGCGGCCGTCTCGCCGGCGACGTCGGAGCCGGGGTGGTCGCGGTCGACCTTGTACGCCTGCCGCGACGTCGTCATGTCCTCCGGCCGCTGCCAGCAGTAGTGGTCCGTGTCGCCGTCCCCCACCTGTTCAAGAAAAAGCTAGGGGATTAATCCGACGGCTCGGGTGCATCGTGGACGACCGACGAAGCTGTGAAACATATGCACGCCATGTGGGAGAAAATAGTTTAGTGCAACCACGCAAAAAAAAAATAGTTTAGTGCCGCCGTTCGTTGGTACGTACGTTCATCAAATCAAACTGGCCGCCTACCTAACACGCTTGTTGTTATTCACCAGAAAAAGAACCTTTTTCTTTTCTCTCCTAACCAGAAAAATACTCCTATATCTATATAATTGATCTCTCTACATAAAAGATTTTGTGTAGTATGTAAATGAAGAATCTAATTGATCAAAGTGCAGCGAGGTAGCTAGGTGTGCATGATTGAATTGGTCTCTCTCTCTCTTTCTTTCTTGGAACGATCGCTGGCTTGCGTGCGCAACAGCTAGCTTGGAACCGGTCGGTCTCATCTCATGCATGTCATGATCGTATCTGAACACTGCTAGCTATAGCCAGGGGATGGAGGTGACACACGATCGCCGTCGTCGGCTCGTGGAGTACGTACCTCGGCCCACAGCTCGTCGGGCTGCGTGTGCGCCTTGATGAAGTAGTCGGTGCCCCACTTGATGGCCTCGAGCGCGTGCGCGAGCTCGCCGGCGGCCGCGACGTCGTCCCCGTACTCGAGCATGCTCCAGGAGAGCATGGTGACGGTGAAGGCCATGGGCAGGCCGAACTTGACGTGGTCGCCGGCGTCGTAGTAGCCGCCCACCAGGTCCACCCCCTGCTCCAGCCCGTCGGTGAGGCCCGAGTGGTCGCGCCACGGCACGCGCTGCCCGTGCGGCAGCCGCCCCGACCGCTGCGCCTCGAAGTAGAGCAGGCTCTTCCGCAGCGCCTCCTCGTAGTTGTGCGCCTTGCCGTCGCCGCTCCCGCTCTTGCTCCCCTCCGCCGCCGCCACCGCGGCCAGCAGCACCGCCAGCACTAGCAGCAGCGCCGCCCGCAGCCATGGGGTGCTCCCTGATCTCATTGCGCAAGAATATGCTCCTCGGATCGTTGGCGCCTTCGCTTGTGCGTGCGTGCCCGGGGCGCGCCCTGTGATCACCGCCGCGCCGCCCTCTGCCGGCTCTGCTAGCTTAGCCTGTGTGCGAGCGTAGGGGTGTGTGTGTGATCTCTCTCCCGCGGTTGTGCGTTGCGTGCTGTGTGGCGAGCGGGGCGGGGCGGGGCAGTGTCCTCCGACCTGAGGCCGTGGGCTGGCGCGCTTATATTCGCGGCCGGCGTCCGGGTCCAGCGCACGCACGCGCACCGCGTTGAACCGGTTCGGCGGCCGGGCCGGGACGGGGGAATATAAAACTCTAGAGATAGTAGTAGATGGCAAGAGGAGGAGCAGGCAGGAAAGAAACGATGCAAATGTAAGCGAGCGAGCGAGCGAGCGAAGCTGCGTTTGGGTTTTGTATCCTTTGTTTGGTCTGGGGAGATAGATTGAGATGGTTGGGTTGGGTTCTGGGTTAGCGACGACGCACGCAAGGGAGGCGGCAGCGGAGCAGATTTTGACCGGGACGCGTTACGTGTTTTTTTCAGAGCGTGAGTCGGTTGGGGCCAGCCGGGCACGTACCGCCAGGCACCAACACATGGCCGAAGGACGCGTGCGACCGGCGTAGTTCCTTCGGGCCAGGTCGCCGGCCGATCGACCGGCCGGCCGGTGGCCGGTAACAGGTTTTCATTTCACTGTCAAATCTTAGCAGGGAAGGTATCCTAGGTCAGGCGGCCGGTCTGATAAAAAAGACCCGTTTTTTTCTCTCTCTTGCTACCTCCCGTGGAAAAACATGTTAGTGATATGGTACACGTTACGCGGTAGTTATAAGTGGTTGGCTGACGTACGTTTAACTATAGGCAAATTATAAGCTTTGTGTGAGCCGTGAGATTATTGTTCCGGCCGGGCGCCGGGGCGGGGCATGTGTTTGTCGGGGGCGGGCATGTCTCTCCACGATCGGTTGGTCAATCGTGTAGTCAGCCGACGGTTGCAGCATGTTTCGCGATGATAATACTATTATCAACTGCTAATGCTAGCAAGATGATTATTAGGTTGAGCTAGCAAGGTACTACTATCAATGATCAACAAACTACATAGCACGAGCCGATTAAGCCGCACCATATATTCTGCCAAACGAATGTACTTTTTCCGTTTTGAAATACTTGTCTGACAAGTATTTTCGAACGGAGGGAGCACATATGTACATGCAAAAGTATACAAGGAGCTAGCTGTTTCTTTTGCTGAAGCTAAGCTACAAGCATACGTCTTCTCCTCCACCTATTCTCGTGCGTGTACGTGAAACTTGTGATCCGTTTCCCCGTGGCCGGACAGGGACTCCCCGGCGGCAACGATTTGATGCCTCCCTTTTCTTCCACCGGCTGCGCAATCCTATTGCCATCCTGCTAGACCCTAGATACATGCATGGGTACGTACATCTATCTGGTAGTACTGGTAGGCAGGTTCATGGATAGACGCACGGTTTTTACCGCGACATATGTGCTTTGCCAAACCATAAACTACTGCTACTAGCACCCGATCCCTTGGAAACTTCTCCGATAGCTCTCTCCGTCTCTCCCATGTGGCCTAGTCAACCATTGTTCCTCGGAGAGGGCCGACTGAACCACCACATTTTGACCGTGCTCTGGCACCGCACGCACCCGTCTATTAGCCCTCGTCGTTTTCTATTGCTCGTCGAAGAAGAAAATTGAAGATCTAGACGTACGTAGTATCGATCACGATGTGCTTAATGTATGTGTGTGTACGTGAGATGCTAGTGGTTCCGTTTTCTAGGGGCTTCTTCTTCTCCCCGTAGCTCAACCAGACGTCTGGTTTGTCCAATTTTCCCGTGCGGTTGGGAAGTCCTACTCCCTCCGTAAACCGTTCTGTCAAGCAAAGGCGGGAAAATTCAAGGAGGCTACTAAGCCAACACCACCTCATCGCCCTCCTTTTGTACGTGGTTAGATCACTAATTAATGGCTGCCTTCTGGTGGCCGATGATGCATGACGTTGATATGCATTTGTGCCACGGATTTTCCGTGCCCTCGCGATTAACTTTCCTGAATTTTCTAGCCGCTAGTTCTGATATGTTTTTCTTTTTAGACTAGAGGTCGAGTGACGGAGGTTGATCGAACCAATGACCTACCTCTTGTTGGGGTGATAAAGACTTTCTTGCTTCCAAAAACCTTTATCTGAGGGTACCTTTTTTCCTTGGTCGTTTTCAAATTCCAGTGCGATGCCACTAGCCAGGTGTACGCAACTACACACGCTAGGTCCACCTCACGTATGCAAGGGCAGTATACTTTCTTTCATGGTTTATGATCTATATATGTTTTCTTTGAAATCATGAACACACATATATTAAGGTATGATGACATTGATGGGAATTTTAGTCGCACCACTTCACCAAACCATAGTTTGATTATCTTAATCGTGACCATGTCTATTTATTTATGTATCTCTTTTTGTGATAATATTTATTTATTTATATATTTCAACGATTTGTAGGACAAGTACCTGCATAATTACATACTGGAAAGCTATTGGTTAGGTCCACCTCAGGTATGCAGGGACACTATAGTTTCTTTCATGGTTTATGATTAATGTTTTCTTTATCATGAACACACATATAAATACAATGGCATTGATCAGGAATTTCGTCGCACTGCTTCACAACCATACAATTGTTTGCTTATCTTAGTCATGACCATGTTTATTTATTTATATATTTATTTTTTCCAAAATATTTATTTATACATTTTGACAAAAAATCTGATATGTTAATGTTAGAGTGAGTTATGCACCATCAGGTTTTTTCATTTCTTTTGTTGATTTGTGGTCTGCATAAAAAAAAGAGCTAAAGTAACTTTTTTCCGGTTGTGAAAAGAAGGGTTTGATTTTTATTTTTCCACAGCTCACAACTCGGTAGTGGTTTTCATGAACCATTGTATGTATCTAGATACAATGACGAGTCATCTAAATGTGAGATTCTTTTTGAACATTCTGGAAAAAAAATTGTGAAAAGGGGGCAGGTGCTCCCAAACGCCATTAATACGGGGGGTTTTCGGTATGGTACGACGCATATTCGATGCCGAGGAAGGCAATTGCAACAAGACTACGCCTGTTCGGCAAATTGGCACTGGTGAAGCTGGCAACGCGGTTTCCATGCTTGATCGATCGCCAGCACAAGCTAGTATTCCCCCATGATTTGGGAGCATTTTGTTGGAATCCAATGCAGCATCAATCAGCAAGCGATCGATCGGGCGACAGGACGGGAGATGACAAAGGAACAGGAACGGGTCGCCGTTTAGGATCGTGATTTTTGCACTTAAGGCCTGGTACAATGGGAGGTGCTAAGGAAAAGTGTTTATAAAAATAAATCAGGCTTTTCTTAAGCACCGGTGCTTATTTGTACAAGTTAAGCGTCTCTCCTGTAGAAATAGGCATCGATACTTTAAAAAAATTCGATCTATTTTTCTAAGCATCTCTCTAAACACCTCCTATTGTACAAGGCTTATGTGTCCATGTGTCCCTACGTCCACATATGTTCCATACACTTCTACTGTACTACCTAGTCGCGAGTGCTGTCCAACCAATGGTCTGGCTGGCCGCGACGTGACGCGGATAGATTTTTGGATGCATGCGCCCCATGCATGTGTACACGACGACGGCAACTTCCACTAGTAGCAGTACTATAAGCGTATGAACCCTCCTCCATACCGATGAAAACGAGAAGGATTCCTGCTGAAACCGCGTCAGGAGGAGTACAAGAGGAGGAATCGCAGTTCTCTGGAATGATGATTTGTTCCGTATCTCGGACATCATCATGGGCACCTACTGCCTCTCTCTCTCACGGTTACGACAATCCGAGATGAGAGCTCCTTTCGCCTCACTTCCGTGTATGGCCCAACTCAGAGCAATCAAAAGGAGGTTTTTTTCGAGGAGCTCATGGCTCACAAGCCGGAACACAGCAGAAAATGGCTAGTAAATGGGGATCAACCAAATTTACCGTGCAAGGGACAAGAACAAGAGGAGCGTCAACCGCAGTCGTATCAACCGCTTTCGTGCCACACTTCATGGCTGTGATCTACGCGAGATTCACCTTCAAAACCGTCGATTCATTTGGAGTAATGAGAGGCAAAACCCCACCATGAGCAAGCTAGACAGCGTGTTCTGCAACGCGGAGTGGGACATTGAATTCCAATACCGCATCTTGCATGCTTTATCTTCATCCTTGTCGGACCGCTGTCCCATGCTACCGGCACCTATAATTGGCCCCAAAAAGCCGAGAAGCTTCAAGTTTGAGAACTTTTGGATCAAGATGCCAGGTTTTCACGAGACGGTCACCGATGCTTGGGCTTCTCCCACACCCCACTACGAGCCTTGTCAAGTTCTCTTCCATAAGCTTCGGACAACGGCTGTCCGATTGAGAAAATGGAGTCAATCCTTCTCCTCGTATGCAAGGTTACACCTTCACATGGCACTTGTAATAATTCTCAGATTGGACATCGCCCAGGAATTGCGCTCTCTCTCGCCGGAGGAGTTTGACTTTCGTAAGCGGCTTAAGAGGCGCATCATCAGTTTAGCGGTTCTTGAGAGGGCTAGAAAAAAGCAGTGTGCCCACATTCGCAACTTGAAGGGGGGGGGGGGGATGCCAACACAAATTTTTTTCACATGAAGATTAATGGGTGGAGGCGCAAGAACTTCATCCACAAGTTAAGCAACGGGGCTGGTTGGGTTACAAAGCATGAGGACAAGGAATATATTATGAACCAACACTTTACCACCGCATTGAGCAAAGGGCCATGCAGAACCACAGACTTCAATTGGCAGCCCCTCCATTTTACAGAGTGTGACCTCTCCAGTCTTGGGGATGAGATGACGGGTGACGAGGTGCTTGCCGCCATAAAGGCAATGCCTAGCGACAAGGCTCCGGGGCCCGATGGCTTTACCGGGGCGTTCTTCAAGAGTTGCTGGCCAATTATCAAGGACGATCTTAT